ATTGATTTTTTCTCTTTTATATATATATATATATATATATATATATATATATATATATATATATATATATTAAATACTTCATCCGTTCCTAAATATCTGTCGTTTTACACAATTTTTTTTGTTTCATAATACCTGTCGTTTAATGAAACCAAAACATAATTACTATTTTTTCTTCCAAATTTACCCTTAACTTTTCAATGCATTAAATTAGGTGAAAACTAAGTACCTTTCATATTCATTTCCTTCCCAATACGTATTGAATAAGAATATTTTAGTCTTCTACAATTATTTTTTACTCATATTAGAGTTATTTAATAGTTTCTTTAATTCCTGTGTAAAAATCTTAAACGACAGATATTTAAGAATTGAGGGAATAGTAACATACTCAACAAAAAAATAGTAACATCAAACAGTAACATGCTCAATAAAAAATTAAATTAAAAATTTAATCATTGTACTAAAGTGACATCATATGTGAGTATTTATTCTGTTGTGGCGGTGTCACTCTATTACAATAATTAAATTTTTATTGAGCATATTACTGTTTGATGTTATTATATATATAAATGGCGTTAACGCATTTTTACAAAAGATGAGCTGGGATTACGTTAGGTTGCTAAGATGATGTCATAATATACAGGGCTTTGAAAGCTAAGACAACAGAATTATAGTGGTTCCCTAATTTGGGAGCTCGGCTAGTCCACTCTGGAATAGAGGCTCTTGTTCTCTTTTTTTTATTCACGGTGATTACAAGGTTGCTATGTCTTATTTTTGCTACTCGGGTTCTTTTTTTTTCTCTGTTAGGGGGTGTTACCTTGCATTTATAAGGTCATTTCCTGCTAAGAAGGATCTTAGCCGAGATTCTTGCCCTTATATCGTGAGCTTCTCCTTAATTATAGGAGAAGATATTGGTTTGTTGAGATTGAGTGTCTTGATTACAGTTTCCTAATGCTTTAGGATCCTCTCGTGGTTATCCAACTGTTATCTTGCCTTAAGAGACACTTGGCCCTTACCCTCTGACCTCTACTAATGTGTCTGACATCCTGGTCCGAGCTAACCTCCTGATCTTAGCACTTGGAATTTATTTTAGGTATCATCAGTTGCCCCCAAGCCCTTGGCTTAAGCGAGCTTGGGCATGGGCTGAGCTTCTTTCGCATTGGACCAAGCCTGCACCTAGCTGACCTTAGTCTGTATGTGAGATGCACGTGGGGGGGGGGCTCTTTGACGATTTACAGCAATCATGGCTTCCTCGATTCCCGTGCATATTTCAGCCCACGTCACTCAAGCTTTAAATGCTCAAACGACTATCCAAAAACTACTCAAAACTCCCTGTTCATCTTCTGCGCTGTTCACATTTGCCTCTGCCTCTTTTCCTCTGCAATTCCTGGGTTTTTCTACACGCGATTCACTCATTCTCTGCTCAAAATTGCGTTTTCCAGGTACGCTTCGAAGTCTTGCTTTGCTTCTTCTCTCCAATTTCATCCTCGATTACTGTTTGTTGCTCTATTCCCTGTCTAGGTACGCCCTTTCTGCCCCCTTCTCTTTCTCTTACCTTTCCCCGCTCTGGAGCCCTCAAATTCGAGGTGGGCGTTGTTTTTCTGGGTTGTTTTGATTCTTTTACTTTTAGAATCGAGATTGTTGTTTATCTCCTCTTCCCCGCTTTGTGGATTGGAACTCCACTGTGCGAATACTTACCATTGGGGGGTACAGTGTTGACCCTAGGATTATTAGGGGGTGTTTGATTAGTATTCCTCCTCTCTATCATTCTTTCAATCTGCCTTTCTCTCTACCAATCATGTTTGCCTCCTCTAGAACAACTCTTTCCTCTGGTTCCTTCTTAGTCGATAGGTCTGTCGAAAGAGATTTTGATTTAGGGGATGTAAGTGACGAGATTGACAACTTTCCTGGTGTAGATTCTGCCAAGGTAGAGGTGAAAACCAAGGAGGCCCCCTCCACCTCTTCTCCCATGCCTGATAGACCTGATAAGGGTAAGGGCAAAGTAAGTGGTGTGGGAGTCATTATTTCTGGCACAGGGGCTGCCTTTAGGAACGCTGAACTTGTAAGTCCCAGCAGACTTACCCCTTCTGACCTGAAGGTTCTCAGTGCTCGCTTTCGTTTCCCCCTAGGGGTTCAGCCCTGAAGTCCTGATAAGTACACCACATATGTTCACCATGTCCACAAGAAGGTCTATTTCTTCCTGGCAGNAACTTCAGCACCTTCTTGCTGAAGAACACTGAAAACTTGATGCAAAGTGAAGCTCTTACTTAAGCCAGTTATCAAATTCACCTCCAAAATAGAACCCATCTCTCTTATGGCAAGCACTGGTGACACCAACCCAATCATCTGATCTTTAATTCCAGCTCCATCAGCTTGGAGTTGTTCCTTCTTTTGCCTCAGTTCTTCTAGGTGATCTTTCAGTTGCTTCACGTAAATAGTAGCTTGATCCAACAACGCAGGAAATGACAGTCTCTCCTGAAATTCTTAGAGAGATGCGTACAAATAAATATCTATATATATACACACACACACGACACACAGAGATAGAAATCATAGAGAGAGAGAGAGGGCTACGTACCCTAGAGGGTTGGGTAAGGATGAGAGAGGCAAGGTTGGAAACATGATCTTTCATTTGCATTCTTCGATATTTTGCCATTTCATTTGGCCCAAGTTTAGATGAACTCTCACTGGCTGCATCTATTCTCTAGTGTTTGTTTGGTTTTCTTTTGTCCCTCCTTTTCTTGGTTAATGAGGAATAAAGGAAGCTACATGTGGAGAGAAGGACAAGTCGGGTCCTGTGTATGTGCACGGGAATATATTTATTTAATTAATATAAGAACTAACTTATTTATTTACAGCCGAATTTGACAGAATTAATGATTAATGAGTAACAAATTAAAATCATCATTCCTAATTCTGTGATCAGATCATTTGACGTACATAAACAAATGTACTTCAAATCCATTTAGAAAGTGTCTTGTCAACCATTTCAATCCGAATGAAGACAAGATAGAAAAAATATGGAATCATGCCAAGTGACAACCTATATGGACAAGAGTATTTTTTGAAATGATATCAAAAAATCATATTTTGATATCAAAGATTATCTAAACATAAATTTATTTAAGAAAAAAAAAGTAAAAAAAAAACTATAAATTCATTTAAGCAAAAAAACTTAAAACTAGACAAAAAAAAAGTGGAAAACTTTTACGGTACCGTTGGTGGTATCAATACCAAAATTTATAATTTTTCAAGACTAAGTTATAACTTTTTTCAAGTGTAAATTATAACTTTAACCGACATGATCAATCATAAAATCTTGGGATCAATACCGTATTTTTTATAATCAATTATGGGTGCCTGTGATGGATTACAACGAATAGTTATAATTTTTTTTTAAAATTATAATTTTATCATAAAAAATAATAACAAATAATAATGATAATGAATCTCTTTATATATATATATATATATATATATATATATATATACCGTAGAGTTTACCCAAAAAAGTGAGTCAAATAATCTGTAAAAGATGTGACAGCCCAAGAGTTTACCCAAAAAGTGAGTCAAATAAACTGTAAAAGATGTGACAGCCCAAAAGATTTGACACGCTCCTTGCCGAAATACATCTCTATTTTCGGAAGCCGGTTTTCGTGTTCACATTTGTTTTTTAATCAATGGGGCCACAAATAACTAATTGGACAATTGCCGAGAAGGTGAGGCCCTGGGCGGCTCAACAGTATGACAAAAGAAAAGAATTTGTACTTTGTCGACCAAATTTTTAGAAGATTTTATAATTTTAACGGACACTTGATTGTGAGTATTTTTATAGAATTTATTTGATTTTAAGTATTATTTTTAAATTTATATTTTATTAAATTTTTTTTTTATTAAATAGTTGTCAATATTTTAAATTCTTGTTAAAATATATTTCATAATTACTTTTACCATAAATATTGTTTATCATTATTAGTTTCAATATTTTCAAATATAACAACTTTTAATTTGAAAATTGTGTTAGCATTAAAATTATTTTTCTATCTTATATATATATATATATATATA